ATATATATATATATATGTTAGGGGTGCAACAATACACAAAATTCATATGTAAGAACTTCTTACCTTGTCCACCATGAGGAAGTTATTAATTTTCTCTCCGTCAGAACAGATGACATCGCCAACATCTTTCACTGCAGAAGGCAGCAGCTCTTTCACCTCCTGAGCTATAATACCTTAATATCAGAAGACACATGGATAAATATGGTATATATAATTTATATATATATATATATATTGATATATTTTTCACATTATTTTGTTATAGTATTAAAATCCATATTTTTGGGGGTAAATTTACTGGTGTATAGAGCTTGACCCAAGACTAGACGACTGGCTACCCAAAGGGTTGCTTCATAAAGTGTCTCATGACATGAAGATGGTCACCCAAATGTTGTGTTCTTATCACCACATTGTTGTCATCTTGTCACCAAATGTGTGCATGGTGAATGCAGTTGTAAGGTCACAATTTGGTGCTCAATTGATTTGCCAAATATATAAATATATATAAATATTGTGGGATTTGTACAAAATATTTATAGACACCATATTGATGTTGGCACTCTCAATGCCCTAGGCAATGTTTATGCAACGTTTCATCAAGATTGGGCCACTCGTCTCAGAGGAGAATAGAAAGATTCAAACATATGGTATGATCAGCATGATGAATTGCAGCACCTGTCTGGTGGGTGTGGTCTATTCCCATTTTGGAAGCAAACTCTGGTTTATAATCAAACTCGACTATCTTCATCTGATTAATTCTCTTCAGCTGCTGCTCAGAGTCGACCTAATAAGCAAAAAGAGGAACACATTTTTGGTCATTTTTAATGTGTAAAGTCAGAGGGACAATAGGACAAACAGAATTCAGCTGAACCACTGAATAAATGCCAAAGATATCAGTGGTGGTCTTTAAGACATTGCCTTTTTTAATTATACTAAAACTACTTAACTGTCGATTCAGATTCTACAGATTTCTGTGCTGATGTAGATACTACTACAGAAGACTAGAGAGTCGAACATCAACCACAAATGAAAAAGCTACCTGCTACAAATGGACAAAACTCATCATTTAGATATTCAGATAATGAAATTTTTTTCACCTGCTGTATGTTCTCCTTAGCGCGACAGTCAGATGGCTGCATGATGGTGCCCATCACTTTGGCATTACCGCAGACAACCAGTGCCTCATCAGGGGAGTCGGTGTTGATGCCCACCCGACCCTGACACACCAAATCTTCTTGCACCACTCCACGCTGCCACATTGTGTCCCCATCCGTCTCAAACTGACCAGGGTTAGACGCCTGTGGCAAAGATTTATTTATTTTTAATGGAATCTTAAACTTTTTAATACAGTCATTGAGTTATTGGTTTATCAATTTTTGGTTCATAGATGTATTTTTTTACCCTGACAATAATCTTCTCCGACACCAAAGCTGTCAGGGGAAAACTCTCATCTTTGACTACAGCATACAGACCAACCACCATCTGAAAATACCTGAATAAGCACAAACAATTATTATTGTTATCTACTGCTGTTATGCCTTCATTAATTTTTTTATATTTATACATTTACAAACCTCTGGTCAGGGTTTGGTTTGCCTTTTTTTCGCATGTTGTTGGCCGTCGTCTCGCTGAAGTGCAGTCGGCCAAGTGTTACTCTGGTTATTTTGCCACCGGGTAGACTGACCCTGGAAGTTTTGATAGCATTATGTTTAAAATGCTGTATTTGCCACATTTTTAACTCTATCATCTGCCATTTGGTAGTCTAGATAGCTTGCCAGAGGCTAAATAATTTGACAACAAAGGCCTTCTGCTTATCGAATTCAGGATAAGACAGTTTTGGTCTTGAAAAATGGAGTGTTGGGAAAAAAATGGAATGCTCTAAAATGCTTTTCTCCTTCAACACCCAGCTGCTTTCTTAAACATTGAACTGCTGTACATCATACTGTACTGTCTTCCATGAAGACAATAAGGCTCAAACATTATTCAGGCAAAAGAAAAGCTTTTCTACAGTAGTTAAGTCATATGTATCTGGTCAAAAATATGGACTTTAATACTGTTACATACCTGACTGGATGAAAGGGTTTTTTGCTGCGGTCAGGTTGAGATTGTTCAATGGTCACAAGGTGACTTGGAGTTTCCAGCTTTGATAAGAAGGAGACAAACAAACATTACACAGATGAGTAATGTCGGAAAGCATACTAAGTATTTGCATGTATGAATTGGGTGGACAAGACCAAAGTGCTGTCAAAGGATGGCAGGAACAAGATTTTAGACCTGAACACGGCAGAAATGAGCTACAAGAGCTTTGGGGTCCTTAGGGACTAGTAAAGCGCTATATAAATACAGGCCATTTACCATTTACCAAGAGCATCAGTAAGAAGCTTGATGAGAAGGTGGCAAGTGTTATTGTGATTATTTGGAAATCAAATAAATAGAAGATGACCATCAAATGTCCAGAGTCTGGAGCTCCATGCAAGAGGTTGCCTCATGGATCATAAGAAAGGTGGTGGTTTAGTCCAAAACTACAGGTGAGCAGTGTTGGTCAAGTTACTTGAAAAAAGTAATCAGTAACTAATTACTGATTACTTCCCCCAAAAAGTAATCCTGTTACTTTACTGATTACTTTTTCAAAAGTAATTAATTACTTAGTTACTTAGTTACTTTTTAAAAACACGATTTACAACCTGAAGAGGTGATAAAGCGATAGGTCTTTCAGCCCAATTCTACTTTTTCT